AGGCCCTCATTAAAAGAGCCCAGCATAATGGCTCAGCTCCAGAGAGAAGTATACTTGCTACATGCAGTTTTTACTCCAAGGTATAGACTAAACATAAGGAATAAATCGTATGATAGAAGACCTCATGCCCCAGAAAGCGTAAGGGTCTTCCCTCCCAGATTGGGTTGGTTTTTTTTTTGTTTTTTCTGACTAGGTAAAGAGGCCATTCTCTGGCTCATTTCTTACCTAGCCTTAATCACTGAATGGGCACTGCTCAGTCAAACTGAGACCTGTTAAAAGCTTAAAAAGGCCAAGGTCTCCCACTGCATCCTGGGCCACCTCCAGTTGTCCTGATCTATATCTGGCCACTGGACCCAGATGGTTCCAGAGGAGAGAGTGAGGCTGGTGACTTTGCACAGCCCTGCCTCGATTAAATCCAATTCACCTGAAAGTCCATGGCATCACCTCCCTGATGTCATGGTCCTCTTCAAGACCGAAGGACAAACAACAAGTATCTATGTAAAAACCAAGACCCAGCATTATCTGTGATGGGAAAGCGCTAGAGACCTTTCCAACAAGATCAGAAATAAGCAAGGACCTCCATTGTCACCATTATTATTTTATATAGTGCCAAGAATGCTTGCTGCAGCTATAGAACCAGTAAAAGAAATTGGGGCAATAAGCACAAAGAGACAAGTCAAATCAACAAGCACTTACTAAGCCCCTACTATTTTCTGGGCACTGTGAGAAACACCAGAAATACAAAGAAAGCCAAAAAAAAACACCAAAAACCAAAACAGTCTGTGCTCTCCAGCAGCTCATAGTCTAATGGAGGTGACCACACACAAACAAGTGGGTACAAACAAAATCTAGATGGAATAAATTGGGGTAATTTCAAAGGGAAGGCTTCTTCCAGAAAGTAGGACTTTGGCTGAGACAAAAAGGAACATTAACAACATTGAAAGAAGGCGATCTTCTTAATAACTAATAAAATAGGGAAACCATTGGCTAATCTGATTAAAGAGAGAGGAAAACCAAGCTGCCAATACCCAACGTGAAAAGGAATTCGCGACTGAAAATAAAATCGAGGAAAGTACCAGAAATGGTCTCGTCCAATTCTACCCAACACAACTAATAACCTAAGTGAAATTAATGAATAGTTTAAAAACGTAAAAACGCCCGGATGAACAAGACCAAAGAGTGAATTTGAAGCCAGCCAGCCAGGGGGGTGTTACACACTCAGGATCCCTCCTGCCGGGGAGTCTGAGGCTGGGGAGTGTCTCACACTTGGGAGTTCTGAGCCGCAGTGGCTAAGCGGCTGCGTGTCCCCGCTAAGCTCAGCATTAAAATGAGAAGACAGAGATGAGGGAAAGAGATCCAGGCAGGAGTGACAGCCAGTGAAAGTGCTCTTGAGTGCTGTCTGTGAGGAACAAGAAAGAGCGCCGGGGAACAGAGTACAGGGAGGCGAGAAAGAGGTAAGACACTTGGAAAGGTGGGAAGGGGCCGGGTGATGAAGGCCTTCAGAAGCCAAACAAGATTTGATATTGGATCGTGGAAATCAGAGGGAGCCCCTGCAAATGATCGAATGGGGGGGTGGGGGTAAGGTCTTTTAGGAGGATCGATTTAACAGCTGATTTGACGATGGATTAAAGTGGGGAAGAGGCTTGAGACAGGGACACCACCAAGCAGGCCAGTGCAATGGTCCGAGCGTGAGGGGACGGAGACGTGTACTGGGGGCAGAATCAGAAGAGAGAAGGGGACCTATGCAAGAGATGTTCTGAAAGGAGAGACAACAGGATTTGCTACAGATTGGGTATGGGGGGTTGAAGATGATGCCTGAGTGTTGAGCCTGGGTGACTGGGAAGATAGGGGTGTCCTGGACACGTTGAGTTTAAGGTATCTACCAGACATCCGGGCATTTGAGATGTGAGACTTGAGGTCAGGAGAGGTGGAAGTTGAACAAAGAGAACTTAGGGTCATCTGTACAGAGATGATCATTGAAGTCAGATGCTGATAAAATCACTAAGTGAAAGAGTATGGATGGAGAAAAGAAGAGGGCCGGGACAGAGTCCTGTAGACACCCACGTTCAGTGGAAAAGACCTGTGAAGATCCAGCCAAGAAGAGAGGAGAACAAGGAGAGAGCAGAGTCATGAAAAGCCATTATCAAGAGATTATCAAGGAGAAGAGGAAGGTCCAAAGGATACAGAGAGGTCAGGAAGCATGAGGATTGAGGAGAGGCCATTAGATTGGGCAGTGGCGAGAGCAGTTTTAATTGAATGATAAGGTCAGAAGCCAGCTTGCAAAGAGTTAAGAAGAGAGTGAGAGGATAAGACATGGAGGGCCTGATCGTAGATGGCTTGATTGTTACTTTTTCCAAATCATATGTTGGTTAACTTAGAGGACTAGAAATCCAAGCAAAAAACTTTGCAAAGTAGCCAAATATAAAATAAACCCACACAAATCGTTAGCTTTTGTATATATTACCAACAAAAACTAGCAGGAGGAGATAAATTCCATTCAAAATAATGGCATAATAGATGTGATATTTGAGGCACACATAGGAACTATATAAATAGAACTACAAAACACTCTTTACAGAAACAAAAACAGGTCTAAATAATTAGAGAAACACTAATTGCTCATGGATAGACTGAGCCAATATAATAAAAATGACATTTTCAACTAAATTCAATTATTAAGTGCCATATCAATCAAACTACAGAAGGGATATTTTATAGAGCTCAAAAAATAATAAATTTACCTGGAGGAAAAAAAGGACAAAAATATCAAGGAAAATAATGAAAAAAAAAAGAAGGAAGGAGACCTAGCAATGCCAAATCTCAAACTTTACTAAAAAAAAAAAGTTGTCAAAATTCTATAGAGCTACTTTAAAAATAGAAACATCAAGAAGTAGAAAAATCAAAATGTAGCCTGATGTTCATTATACCCAAAGGTGCCACCTACTAGGGTAAAGATTCGCTCTTTAACAAATCTCCTGGGAAAACTGAAAAGGCAATCTGGCAAAAATTAGTTAGGCCAATATATCACGCCATATACAATAAGTTCCAAATTGATATGACCTAAATATGAAAAGGTCATATCAGAAACAAATTAGAGGAGCAGAGGAAATAATTTTCACAATTACAGATGAATAAAGATCATAGTATATAAAATGGCTAAATTTGGTTACATAAAATTGAAAAACTTCTGCATAAGCAAAATGAATGCAAATAAAATTAGAAGGAAAATGTGAAATATGTATGAAAAGTTTGAGAGAGTTTCTGGGTAATTAGTAATTTTATTGATTATGGCTAGCAGATAATAATAACATGGTCACTTACCTTTCTCTCCTAAACCAAAGGAGAATCATGGAGGCCTCTCAATGCTTATATGCCCTTGGAAGAATGGGTGTTCCCAGCAGTCAGAAATCAACTCTGATTAGTTAACAATTAATGAGGAGGAATATTATAATGAGAGATGGGGATATTCTAATGAGGGGTGGGGGACATGACTGAAGATGTCACTCTTATGCATCTCTTCCCAGACCACCCTGCCTTGGGCAGTCTAGACAAAGGGATCTACCTCTACCCAAGTCTGCCAGAGTGGCACACAAGTCTGATTTCCCCTAGATTAGATTCTCTTTGTAAGGCTTTCTAGTTGAGTGGGGTCCCATCCAAGATGGTCTAAGCATGTACCCCAAAGATTTGGGCAATCTCATCTATCAGCAGTGTCCTTTAAGAGACTGGCTGAATATCCTACAGGAGAGTATTTCTGAATGAGGAAGTAAAAAGAGAAGACCTTAATATAAGAGAAATAATCGTTTCTCTCACATGTGTGGGTTTGGGGAAAAGATATTATCATTGTAATCAATACATGCTTGTATACTGTATTGTATACTATACTACTCTCTGTTTCCCAGGGGAAAGGGAAGGGAAGGGAAAGAAAGAAGCATTTATATAGTGCTTACTATGTGCCAGTCTCTGTGACTGCCCAGGGTCACATAGCTAATAAGTATCTGAAGCCAGAGGTGAGGATTTGAACTCAGGTCTTCCTGACTCCAGGCCCAGTGCTCTATTCACTGCTCCACCACCTGCCTCAAAAAAAAGGGGGGGGGAGGGGTGTGGATGCATGCATGTATGTATGTATGTATGTATGTATGTATATATGTATGTATTAGGGGAAAGAATAGATAGTATGTTCTGGGCACTGCCTGAAGCCCAGAGCCCAACATCATCATGACCTGGGGACAGGCTTGGGTACAAGGAGGTGGAAATCGATCTGTGCAGATGCCTGCTTGGGTACCACCTGAGTAGAATTGGGTTACCTCCTTCCTACCCTGAAGTGCCCACAAACAGAGAAGGCCATCCATGGAAATGTACAGGGAATAGGGGCAGCTAGGTGGCACAGTGGGTAGAGCACCGGCCCTGGAGTCAGGAGGACCTGAGTTCAAATCTGGCCTCAGACACATAACACTCACTAGCTGTGTGACTCTGGGCAAGTCACTTAACCCCAATTGCCTTGCCAAAAAAGAAAGGTACAGGGATGGAGGAGTGCAGAAGAGAGGACATGTTGGAAACAAATCTTGAATTGGCCATCGAAGGAGGGGGAGGAATGCAACCCATCTTCCCACCCCCATCAATGGGATCAAGCTCCAGCTTCCCTGGGGCTTCCTCCTCAGCGGTCTAACATGATGAATACCCCTCAGAGTCAGCCTTAATGTCACCTGCACGAAGATGACAAGGATGTCTTACTTACACAAACACTTATTGAATATGCTGTGATTAATGCCCAGTTATAGAAACACCTAAAGGCAATATCTTTTAGAGGTTGGGGATGGGGACAAGTCAAGCCAACACATTTGCACTTGTTTGGGATTGAGTGTTTGCTGGCATCCTGGCACCGTGGGGGTGTCTTCCTCACCTGAGACAAGCTTTCTGCACCTTCGCTTTAATGAGCACATTGTACTTTGATGATGACATTTGAACAAAATAAATCTAATGCACTCTTCTTTTTGCTACAGATGAAGTACAATCAAAATCAAGGTGAATTTATGATTTCCGATCTGAAAAGTCAAGTGACTGATGTCAGAAATTCAATGTCACAGAATGTTGGCAAAATGCTGAAAAGAGAAGAAAAACTGAATATACTTATTGACAGAACAGACAATCTTCAAGTAGCTGTAAGTTTCTGCCTCAGCTCCTGCCATCCATAGCGCCGCCCAAAGGTCATTGGCCTCTACTCGAGTGCTTTTAAGGGGATTTCAGTGAAAGTAAAGGTAGCAGACTTTTTGTAAGCCCCTTGCATCACTGACAATCTCCTTTAACTCAGAACACTGAGGATACCTCTGCAGTTGTCAGAAAATCTAATTTTCAGAGTCCAAAAAGATGAGACTTATAAATTAGAGGGTGATCATTTGCATTACAAAGGAATTTTCACTTTAAGATTCATCCATGTTCCTTTAAATAGCAGTCTCTTTATTGTGTCTGAAATATGGCTTGGTCCGTTTTCAGTAACATGATAGGGGGAGGACAGGGTCGGACCTGGGATTTCATTGCCGGGACAAACTCCCAGGAGAGGAAAGGGCCTCCACCAGTGCAGGTTGGCACCCTCTGGGAGCTGCCCAGGGACAACTGAGGCTGAGCCAGCTCCGGCGATGCGGGCTGCTCCAAGCGGTGCCCAGGGACGGGCAGGTGGGGCATGAGAGTGGGGGCGCAGCAGCCTTTGGGTGCCCCCTTCCCATCCCAACCCTCTCGAGTGCCTCTCTTTGAAGGGGAGCTACAGGACCCCAAAGCCCTGGGGGCCGAGCAAGGCTCCCCACTCCCCTGCCTGGTGCCCCGCCTCCACCGCCTCCTCTTCTGTGGGGCTCTGGGGTTTGGCACTTAAGGGGTCGTTATGAACTTTGGAGGAATGACGAGGTCTGAAGGCAGAGTGGGAGGGGAGGCAGTGTAGACACCTAGTGTGGACCGTCACCTCGAGTTCAGACCTAAAGGTCAGGAGGAGGTTTTGCCTCCTTCATCTTCTGCCCAGTGTGTGGGTGAGAATCCGGGAGAGGGAGTGGGGCAGACCCCGGGAAGACCTGCTGTCAGGCCCGCTGTGCAGCTGCTTGGCTAGTCACCCCCACCATCCGGTCATCACCCTCACCCACCCCACCCACATCGGGCCACTCCCGCCAGCCGGTCACCCCACCATCCGGTCACCAAGCCCCGGCCCCCTCCGGCCACTCTTGCCAGCCGTGTCATCTCAGCCATCTGGTCACCCACCCCACCCCACTCTGGTCACCCACGCCATCTGGTCACCCCCCACGACCTGGCCGATCAGGACCTCTGGTCAGCCCTGCTGTCTGGTTCCTCCCCACCCCCAACTCCAGCTGTCTTCCATCGTCCTGACTGGGTGAGTGGGGGGCGGGAAGTGCTCGTGGTCATGGTCTTTTCCCTCTATTTAGTGAGCACTTAGGCATTGTTTCCTTGGGGTGTTCATTCTTAGTGTCCCAAACCAGGGTCTGGGTCCTTGACCATTAACTATGGGCCCAGTCCCAGGGAAGTCTGGCCTGGCCTTGGGCGCAGAGGAGCCCTTTGTCATGGAGACCTGGAACCCAGGGGCCAAAGGTACTGCTGAATCCTATATAAACCAGTATCAGGAAGGCCTGTTGCTTTATGGACCTGATGGGTTTTTTATTCTCATGTGGCCTTTTTCATTGATCTCCATTTGTCCCCAGGGATAGGAACCTGCTGGGCCCCATCTGTCTATGTCCTGCTGAGTGTTTGTAATTAGTAAGGTTTGCCTTGTTTTTACTTTCTGCCTCCTTGACTCAGCCTCAGACAAGCACTGGTGGGAAATGGTTGTGATATGAATGATAACCCCGGAAAGGGGCCTCAGAAGGACCTGTCAGATGAGGGAAGGAGAACCAAGCAAGCAGAAGGACCCCGAGACAGGGGATCTCCCTGAGAAGAGATGCCCTTTGTGGAGGGATGTGTGTGGGAGAGGAGGAAGAGGCCTGAATCTAATAAGTCCCTGGGAGAATGTAAAAAATGTATATGGTTGACTGTGTCAGAGGCTTCAGAGAGGTCAGGAAGGGGGAGGATTGATCCTGCTATCTCTGAAGAGATAACTGGTGACTTTGGAGAGAGTAATTTCAGTTGACTGAAGAGGTGAGAAGCCAGATTACAAAAGACTGAGGACTGGGAGAAGTAGAGGCAGCAAATATAGACAGCTCTTAGCACAGTGCCTGGCACAGAGCAGGTAGGCAAGAAAGGCTCATTGATTAACCAGGTAGTCCAGTGGTAACTATTCCTTCCATAAGCATTCACAAGTCTACAAATAACTTCCAGTTTTTCAGGGATTGTGTGATTATAATTTGTATAATTATCCAAGCCCCCTTCTACTTGTGTTAAAAAGCATCCTAGTCGACTCCCATGTTCAAACCTTGAGATCTTTGACTTTTCTCTCTCATATCCAATAGATCACCCAGCCATATCTAGTCTACCTACCTCCTATCTTTAACACCTAGTCCCTCCTCTTTATTCCCACTGCTCCTGCCCTGGACAGGCCCTCATTACCTCCTGCACAGATTATTGCCCTAGCCTGACCTTCTCCCAAACCAATGAATCCTGATACTGCTGCCGATGAATCTTCCTTTTGCCTGGCTCCGTCTTGTCACCAACTCACTCTTCTATTCAGAAATCTTCAGTGGCTCCCTGCAGGCTCCTGGGCCAGGCATGGGAAGTTTTCTACAATTCTGCATCAGCGTGGTGTCAAGAAAAGAGCCTTGGATTGCGCTGCCAGAAGACATGGGTCTGAATTCCAGATGGGTTCCTTATTATCATCTGTGTGATATCAAGACAGTCCCTTCATTTTCTGGGTCTCAGTTTCCTTATCAATATGAGAGGGTCGGACTAGATAATCCAGTAAAAGAGACTGAGAAGTCAGGCAGGTAGAAAGAGAACCGTGAGCAAACAGTGATAGAAGGGGGAGTATCCGGAAGGAGAGAGTGATGCTGCCGAAGGGTCAAAAAGGATGGAGATGGAGAAATCCTCTTTCCCAGCTTTAAATCTCATGGATCCTCTCGCAGCAGAGAGGTGCAACATGGTAGATGCAGTTGTTTTGCTTAACCATGCTTCTTGGCAGGAGAGAGGGTTCCGCTTAATGCGGATCAACATGGATTTCCTTCTGTTGGCTGCCACATCTCAGTGCTGAATCACATTGAGCTTGTACAGTTATCCCTTCCACATGGAGGGGGCTAGAGGCACGGCGCCCCCATGATCTGGAAAATCCACAGAAAATATTTTGGCCCTCCCTTCATGCCAGAGAAGAAGTCTGAATTTTCTCTTTGCTTTTATGTGGTGTTCACAGTACCTTGTTGTAAAATTGGGGTTAAGTATTTGGTCATAGGCTCTGTGTTGCCTGCTGGCCTTCATGTGTCATCTGCGGCTTCCGCAAAATTCCCATTCAATTTCTTATGCCGACCTGAGATATATCAAAGCCACAATGGGGGAAGTTGCAATGTGGAAGGGATAACTCAAATTGCAGTCCACTACACAGATTCTTTTTCAGAACACGTGCTACCTACCCAGGTCTCCCCCACCTTGTGCTTGTAAAGCTAATTTTCCTTATGTAAATACAAGAATTCACATTTATCGCAGCTGAATTTCATCTTATCCGATTCAGCCTTGTGTCCTAGCTTCTCAAGACCTTTTTGGGTGGATCCCGACCCTCTCTCATCCAGTGTCTTAGCTCTCCCTTCCAGCTTTGAATCACCTTCGGATCCGATGAGCCTGCTTCTCTCTCCTTCTATCTGTGTCGCTGATGAAAACGTCAAACGGCAGCGGATCAAGCACAGAGCCCTTGGTACTCCGCTGGAGACCTCCTCCTGCACTGATGCCCAACTGTTCACAGCAGCACTTGCAGTCTGGCCAGTTCAACCAATTCTGCATCGATCTGATTGTGCTATCCGCTACTTCATGTCTTTATCTTCTCCACAAAAAGGAGTATGAGTAATTCATCAAAACCTTCGCTGAAGCCGAGGTAAACTATATCCACAACATTCCTCCTCATCTCTTCCTCTGTCAGAAGAGGACATGAGTCTACACTGGCGTGACCTGTCCTGCCCTAGGGATGCCCTCATCCACGATGCCTACATCCTTGTGTGGAGAGAGAAGACTCCTAAAGATTCTGAGCAGATCAGGGGGTAGGCACGTAGGTCAGCGTTTAGAGGCTGTTGGGGGTGAAGTAGATAGAGCGCCAGGCCTGGAGGCAGGAAGACCACAGTTCAAATTCAGCTTCAGACACTCAGTAGCTGTGTGATTGTAAGCAAGTCGCTTCATCTCTGTTTGCCTCAGTTTCCTCAAGGATAAAGTGGGGATAATAATAGCACCTACCTCAAAGGGTTGTTGTGAGGATTAAGTGAGATAATTATTAGCATAGTTCCTGGCCCATATGCTTGTTCCCTTCCCTTTTTCAAGGTCTCTCTCTGGTTTTAGGGTTTTTTTTTTTTTATTAATAAGGTCCTAGATTTTTTCCAAAACTCTATTTTCTCTCCTTCAGATACTTTACGTTTTAATACAAAAATTAATATTGTTTCTAGTTTCCACTGTATGGATTTCTACGTATTGATTCTACAATGTAATTGATTTTTATGCTGTATTAATTTTATAATTGAGTCTGCATCTGCCTAAAGCCACCTTTCTGTGTCCTTGAGTTGAGCTCAGAAATTCTATTCTCCCTCCGAGTTAGCTTAAAGTTAGTGTAAATGAAAAGTCGCCATCTTGCATACCATTGTCCCCTGGGATACTTCCTGGGTATCTGTTTGTTAAGACCAACAAGTTAAATCGGTACCATCCCCAAAAGGTATTTTCTCAGTCCTTGTCTTTGTGTAATAAAGGGAGTTTTTCCATTTCTTCCAAGGAGACGGCAAGTCTGGTGGTTGTGATCCCCCGGCAAAGACTGCAAGATACAGATGGGTCCCATAGAACAGTTAACATTCCTAAATGCCAGCCCACCTTTCTCAGTTTAGCCAATTATAATGTTCCTAGCCCAGCCCCAAAACCTATCACCTTCTCTCCATGCCTACCAAGACCTCTTCTTTGTTGTGTGTTAATAAAGAGGGTCCCCTCCTTCTCATTGGGGTCGCTGGTTTTACAGAGGCTTTGGAAGGGTGGTGGCCAATTGAATCAGTCACCTCACGGGATGCTCTGTGCCCCTACCTTTATCAGAGGCTCTGTTGAATCAATCAAACACATTAAACTAGGGGTGAAAAGTCCTTAATTCGTTTGGAAGGAGCAAAGCCATTGTAATTAAATAACCGAGAGGGAAAGTAGATTACAATTGGATGGAGAGGGGTTGCACTTTTATCCACATCTTGCATAAAAATAGGAAGCGAGTGAGGCCTTTGTAGTGGTGAGCTGGCCTGGAGAGGGCAGCTGCAGACTGGCGACTCAGAGGAAACTGCCTGGGGGGAGCCCAGTGAG